AAATATTATGAAAGTATATATATATATATATATATATATACAGGATACTGTATATAAACCTCAATGTCAGAACAGAATTTGTTGTATTTAAACCATATACAGTATATCATGAAAATGTTATGCTGTTTATTTAGTCTTAATAATACCAAATAAACATTTAAAAGTGTACTCCATTGTGTGTGTGTGTGTGTGTGTGTGTGTGTTTATTAGATTTTGCATTACGCTTCCATGCCACTAGGTGTCATTATTTTGACATTACTTTAGTATCTTTTTTACCCAAACATACTGTGTTTGAGAACAATCCTAATAATATCATAAATTAAAATAAAAAAGATTGCAAAACAAAGTTTCATCGGCTCAGACAGAGAGTAAAGTTGAGGCATGGAAAGAGTGCATTAGATATAACACACAGTGTAATGCCTTAACGTAATCTACATATTGATCATCTTTTTATCTTCATTTTTTTGGATCTTAAACTTAAACATATGGCACAATACAGTTGACTGAGTTCAGCTGCGATTTAAGGGGGCTTTAAATATGATAGCGTCTGATGACACACTGTAATGGCCTAATATTATTTTATTATTATTTTACTGTACCATCTGTTTTCATAGATAATTGCACATGGGACAGCATAATCAGCTATACATATACTTTCACTGTTGCAGGTCATCCATCATTACCTTTGTCATTTGTGGTGTTAGGCATCATCTTCCTCCTGTTCATTCAGTATGCCAGTGATGTGCTCCCTGACAGGCTTCAAAGATGACAGGGTGGTCTTTGTTTCAGAAACCAGCAGATCTGTGAATCATTTAGAGGCCCCAGACGTTGGCCACCTTCTCCACAGCGTGCACGTCACTATCTTTTGGCAGTAGATGCCATGAGCTTCTGTCACAACAAGCCTGCTGCTGCTCCAGAAAGACCTCAATCGTTTTGAGAATGGAGCCTCGTTTCGTCACTATGTCGGAGGATGCTTGTACAGCTGAGTCAACTCTTTGAGTTTTGATCACTTTGGCTATAGCTAGACTCAGGCTATGGTCAAAACATAGAGTAACCTTTCAAATGCTTCATTCACAATTGGTTGGATTGGCTATT